GAAGAAATTAGATAATAAAAAACAGGCAATGAAAATAAAATATCCTGTATACTTTGCGTCAATACAATAATACTATTATGCAAAATATTGCAGTTAATAATTATGCAAAATCATCTAAAACTGGAAAAGCTACTTCTAACACTGCTATCAAGAAAGGAAATAAACAAAACAATAACTCACTGTTTGTCTGTGTATTCCTGAAGTGCCGGCTTGGTGTGTCTGTTGGAACATATGGTGTGCAAGATTCTCTTCAACTGACAAGAAGTGTGAAAAGTCCCCACCTCCCCCAGGCGACTCATTCATGGGGTCACTCCGCGCTTCCGACACTTCACTTTTTAATCCCCCATTTTCTATATCCTCTTGTACTTCACAGTGTTCAGTTTTGATTTCTGCCGCACTGGTGGTGTAGGCCTCCACTTCCTGCGAGACTTGCGCTTCCTGTTGGAGTCGCGCATCATGTAGGTGTGAAGAGGGGGTTACTTCTTGATCCTTCTGCAGATGGTGGAGCTCTGGCTGCTGGGAAGCAACTTGCTCATGAACAGGAAGGTGGGAAGGGTCTTCAGCCGGAAGCGGAACAACACCAGGACTGCCTACATTGTCCACCTCTGCTGGAACAACCTCACCTACCAACTGATGACTGTACTGTGGTAGTAGATTGGCTGAAGCTGATGTGTGTATCCCTCTGTCCCCCCCACTCCCCCGGTCTCCCTCTCTCCCGTCACGCTCTTGTCTCCGCCTCTTGGCTGGCCGCTCTCCACTTGTTTGTGCTTCATGTTTACCAGTTTGTGAAGGGTCTTCATCGGGGACTGCTAGACCTTTAATTCTCAAGCATTCTGCAGCTTTTATAAGTCCTGGTAGGTCAGCCTGTTGCACATCCACCTCCCCTAGGTACATATAGTCAAGCAATGCCTCCAGTTCATGGCCTTTTATGTCTTTCAAAACAATAACTGGCTTCTGGCATTGTGTGTGCTCAAATACCTCATTGAAAAAATCACTACATGCCATTAGAACTAATCGATGAACAGCAAAGAATTTGGTACCACACGCTAAGGTCACATCTGTATAACATCCCTGTAGAAAAAAAAAAAGATAATAAGTAAGAGGGAAATCTCTCAGAATTCAAGAGCAATATTATCTAAATTTCAAAATTGCAAAACCATAGCATTTCTTTAGTAAAACCTACCTTTTCTCGTAAGATTCTTAGCAGGTGGAAGAAAGCTGGTTTGTGGTTATTCCACTTTAGAGAGAGCAAATCCTCCCCCATTTTTTCTTTTATCTCCAATATGCTGTAACACTCTGGAAAAAAAAAATCAGATAATGTTACCAAAGTTTTACTAGTATAAACGCAAAAATAACTACCATAAACCTCGCTCCTTTCTAACTATAGGAAACTTTCATAATACACCTCTACATAACCAAAAAAAAGAGGAATTACCCAAAACAACATATGGAAAATACGAGCTTAGAATAGTTTCTAGTTTGACAATAGACAGCCTTTCAGAAAACAATTGGCAGAAACATTACTGAACTATACTATACTAGCATAAATTCATGGACCTTGAAAAGCACTTGTGGCCATACCTTTACTTTCTACAGATTGTTTTTGTATGTATACATTATTGTTTTGTCTAGTGAGAGAGAGAGAGAGAGAGAGAGAGAGAGAGAGAGAGAGAGAGAGAGAGAGAGAGGAGAGAGAGAGAGAGGAGAGAGAGAGAGAGAGAGAGAGAGGAGAGAGAGAGAGAGAGTGAGAGAGTGAGAGTGAGAGAGAGTGAGAGAGAGTGTGAGAGAGTGAGAGAGAGTGAGAGAGTGAGAGAGTGAGAGAGAGTGAGAGAGAGAGAGTGAGAGAGTGAGAGAGAGAGAGATGAGAGAGAGAGAGAGTGAGAGAGTGAGAGAGAGAGAGAGAGAGAGAGAGAGAGAGAGAGAGAGAGAGAGAGAGAGAGAGAGAGAGAGAGAGAGAGAGAGAGAGAGAGAGGAGAGAGAAGAGAGAGAGAGAGAGAGTGGGAGAGAGAGAGAGTGGAGAGAGAGAGAGTGGGGAGAGAGAGAGAGAGGAGAGAGAGTGGAGAGAGAGAGAGTGGAGAGAGAGAGTGGGAGAGAGAGAGAGTAGGAGAGAGAGAGAGAGAGAGAGAGAGTGGGAGAGAGAGAGAGGAGAGAGAGAGAGTGGGAGAGAGAGTGGAGAGAGAGAGTGGGAGTGGAGAGTGGGAGTGGGAGAGTGGGAGAGAGAGTGAGAGAGTGGGAGAGTGAAAGAGAGAGTGTATGTAAATTTACATTAACACAAGTAACAGATAATATCAAAATATCCACACATAGATGGTTGAGATCCAACGTTCTACTTATTGCAATTATACTGTGAAAAGAACCACCATCCCTACCAAGCGGCCTCCTGTTATTGTTTGGCCCTTTTCTTTTCTTGAGTTTCAGCATTATACTCTACATTTCACAGACAAATGGGCATTTTCATCCACGTACCGTATTTAATATGACCTCAAACTGAAAAATGTGCCACTTTCAAAATCATTTTATGCAAATTATTTTACAGTGGCTTCTCGTTGTATTAGAAGTGAATAGAACTTTTAAAGTGGAAGGTCAAAATTGCCAGTGTGCTGGTATGCATCTTTTTTAAGAAAAATAATGTCCAAACTAAACAAAACCTTAATAAGCAGTGGTAATTGTCAAGAATACCTTTGCATATCCAATCCCGATGATAGTGGTACTGATGGATTCCTCTCATTCTCTACTTCCCATGTATGCAAGACAATTGCCACAGACCCCCCCCCCGTCCCAATCCCAATATTCTTGGCTCCGATAGCAGGGGAGGGCAAGAAAGGTAACAGGGAAATTGCAGGGTTAAATGTGAATAATAGACACAAAATGTCATTACAATAATGACATAGACAGATAAAGTCCCTATACTATCTAATCCAGGGGACTGTGACCCACTATGACCCCTGCCCTGGAAGACAAAGAACCTTCCACATACTCATGGCAGGATAGAGTGCACAACCGATATGCTGGACCGCCTGATGTAGAGACTATCCTGCCATACATAGGTGGTGGATATGTGTTGTCCAGGGTGGACTATCCTGCATCTGACTATATATTGACCGATCCTCTGTATATTATTCATATTTTACCCTGTAATTTCAGTGGTAACATTGTTGCCCTTCCCTGCTATCAGGGCCAAGATAGTGGGCACTGGGGAGGGGGGGTTCCAAAGTCTAATTTCTATATACATGGGTAGTAGAGGTTGAGAGGAATCCATCAATACCACTAACACTTTGATCAGCCATGCGAAGGTATTCTGAATATTTACCTACACAGCATAGCAACAATGTAACATAATTATCAATATAATAACGCGCATCATTAAACCCCATTGCTGCCAGTGACTGTTGTAGTGACCAGTTATACATGTTATGGTTTGCTGACAGCCGAAAAGCGATATCCTCTTCATACCAGCTGATGTCAAAATCATCTCAGAATACACTAAGGCTACCGTCCTCAAGAGCCTAGTACATCATCATACGGTAATTCCAAACATGAGTTCTGCATTCCTGACACACACACACACAAAAAAAGTTCTCCCTGGATCTGTGATACCTCCTAGCCTATAGGACTGCTGAGTCTAGCTTGGTGTCTGAGGTGGTCGACACAACCCCAAAGTTATGGGGTTTAATACCATTCCCCACTACAAGCCAATACAATGGCCAAGAATTGTAACACATCCAGGAAGAATATTTGGTCTAGGAATTGGTATTGATGGACTAATTGTGTAGTTAATTTTTCTGATAAAGTAGTTTGGTCCAAAGAAAAACAGCCTGAATATGTGAGGAAGATTCTTGGGCTATTTGCTAGAGCACCACTAGGTGTGAAGGGTATACGAAAGTAATTTTCAAATTCTACACAGCCAAAGTATTGATACCTATTTAACCCATTAACGCTGGTATATTCTGAAGCCGAAAATAAAAGATTCCAGGCAGCTGGTATTTAAGGGGACCGTCCCTGAGAGAGGGGGGAGGAGGGGTTAAATTGAGTTAGTTAGCGTATAGTATAGGTACATGGATGAGGAAACTACCAAACGAGTATTAACCGCCTGCTATGGCTCGTTGTCTTGCAGCCGGCGTGCGAGTCCCTCAGCACCCGGAGAGGTACGTCGCTATTGAGCGCCCAGGTACACCTATGTGGACTTTTGCTTGCGGCAATCGTGCATAAGGCATTTAATTATGACATTGCGCATAGATATGAGTTCGTGAATGTTCAAGGAACACTTTTATACCAATATCAGGAAAAAATTATATCACCGTGATTTATGACGAAATATTTTGTGAAATATATCTAAAAAAAAAATGTATGTTTTTGTCCTTTTACACACGAAATATGCTTTGATCGAGACTCCCTGGTAATATGTTTTAGTTTACGTGGTAATATATACGTATATCACATACGAAGCACTAATGTTTAAAAATAGCCTTATAAGGAAGGATTGAAATATTTCCGTTACATTTCGCTCAACGGTCGGTACATCACAGCAGGGGGCAATTTGAATTGATTTGAAATTGGTAGTTACCGTTGTAAAGACCAATTCAATACGAATGTTACCTAAATGTCGGATTTTTAAACTTCGGATGTATAAGCGAGATACAGATTATTTCATGTTGAAGATGATAGTACTCAGTAATACCTGCTCTGAAATAAAAACTATATGGAATTTTGAGCTCGGTTGTATGCGTAGTCTTCGTCTGGCGTTCAAAAAGCTATCGCATCCGTTTCGTGCGTTCCCGATAAAAATGAATATGTTTAGACGTTACCGTAAGTCTTAGGCACCATAAATTGGCAAATATCCCACAACACATAGGCGTCTGCATGATTTTATGCACTTCTTAGTAAAGATAATGGGTGCAAATGGCTAATCATAAACTTTACACTTGTTCTCCCTTGCAATCTGCTAATATTGACAATTATCAAAGAAAATGGGTATGAGAGGGATAACTAATAAATTTTATTATTTAGATATGAAAGTCAATGTAGGCCTACTAAATGATGATGATTAATCTTTTTAACTTTATGTGCGTGCGTTCACGTACATATGATCCTCCTCGAAAATTATAAACACCCAGTGACCATCTCCCCCTCCCCCCCCCTGTGTGAGGCATGGGGAATATTCAACGACTTTCGTAAGTTCTCGAATTCAATGTACTAAATTCATATGCTTTTGAAATTCTCAAAATTGAACCACCATGTTGTATTCATGCCAGGATTTTTATAATTAGAATGATTTTGTACTAATATTGCCATCCACAGTTCCCCATTTCTTCAAAAATAAAAAATAAAAAAAAAATAAAATGGAAAAAAAAAAAAAAAATTTTTTTTTAAAAAAAGGTTTTTATCTGGTTTAGATTAGTTGTCTCTATGGTAAAATGCATTTATTAAGCTTTTCACACGAAAATATCAACTTTAATGAACAACGAAAAAAAAAAAAAAAAAAAAAAGTGACATACCTTTACAGAATAGCGTCCCTATTGAACATGAAAATTCCTATTGACTTGGTAATCATTGCATTGCAAAGTACACTAAATAAGCGTTTTTTTGATATATAATATCATTAGATTCAGAGAAAAAAACAGAGATAACGAACTTTGGCAAGGTGCCAAATACAAAACGCCGTAGCTCGGCTATTTTTTTATGACTCTTCGGTACTTCCCAACTCACGTAATTTTCATGCGATCCAAATGCAGTTTGTTGCTTTCACTAGAGCCTCGGCGTCCCATAGCCATGTAAAAGGCCGATTTTTGAATTTTTGCCTTAATCAAAAAATAATAATATTTTAATGCTGAAAAACGCATTCAAAAATAGTTCTCTATGTCAAGCTGTCCCCCGCCAAAAAAAAAGGAAATTCAAAATTCGGCCTTTTACATGGCTATAGGCTAGAGTTGATCTAACACTAGCATTTTTGGGGGAATATTCTGTAAAGAGCTCTGATAGTTGGGATGTACCGAAGACATACCAAAAAAAATAGCGATTTTTTTCAACTTTTTGGGGGGTGCCCCCCCCCCAATGGGGGAGCAAAGTTAAAATTTATATATATAACGAAGCGCAATTCTTTGCTCTATAGCATGCAAAAAGAATCAATCAGTTATCTCTAACCGATATTTTTTTATGATGTATAGAGTAGGGAAAGGTGGCCATTCTCAGGGACGGTCCCCTTAACTCTACACAGCCAAAGTATTGATACCTATTTAACCCATTAACGCTGGTATATTCTGAAGCCGAAAATAAAAGATTCCAGGCAGCTGCAAAATCGGCTCACGGGGCTGGCCCAGACTTTGCCCACATGCCGGCCATGGCCCGTTGCTGTGTCGGAGCGCAAGCCCCAAGACAGTGTCACACTGGCAGGACGCCCAGCAATGTTTATTTTTTCAGGTGTCTCATATGTGGGACAGCCATCGTTAATGGGTTAAGTGTAACCAGACCCTTGGATGCCAAATCCCCATTACTCCAGCCAACAATTTTAGAGATACTCCTGGCAATCTACAAACTTTGCCATATGAACCAAAATCCCTCCTAAACTTGGGGTTTAGTCCCCAAACCCCCCATCCAATTGCAAATTTCTCTACCAAAAGCTCCACCCCCAGGATGGCTGTGGACACTCTCTGCAAACTAATTTTGGTAATTTTCTGGAAGTTTCACTAAACAGATCACGACAATCTTGGTACTGATAGATTACTCCACTCTCTGCAATCCAAATATATAGAAATTATTGTGTAGGGCCAAGTTCATCATTCATGGGGGTTATACACAATGAAATCTACATATTTGCCTTGTAGAAGGTGAGAAGAATCCATTGATACCAAAATCGTTACAATCCGTTTGGCAGACATATACCAGAAAATTATACTGATTTTCATTTCTAACAATTTTTTAACCATTTCAGATTATATCATTCATTGCTGTGTAGTTATTCCCATCTCTTTTTCAGTCGTTAATGCAATCATTACGTAGATATATAGTAAAATAATGCTTACACTTACAATTTTCTAATTTCCCCCAGTTAATCTTTACAGTATGGATACAGTAAGTTTGGGCAAATTGAACATGATATTCTTGTATAGGACAAAATGTTGCAGTCTTTGGAACAAGAAATAATCTGCAGACAAACAGTAATACCACAAATAAAGGGAAAAAATTGCAGAAAGCAGCACTCTCAGCCTATGTTCCACTTGTGCTCCTGAGTTTTCAGCAAAACACAATTTGAAGACAATGTTTCTCTGAGGCAGTTGGGGGGGAGAGCCTCCCATCAACCCTCCCTCCCAGGATCGACACATCGCGGCCACACGCATCACGGCATTAGACTGATTGAATGAATTTTTTGTGGAATTGTGGATTTGGGGACTGTGTGTCTTTGGCGAGTGTGTCCATACTGTTAAGAATCACCTTGTATTTGAAATGCTGTAGATACAAGGGTTTTGAATTCTCTGTCATTCTATCAATTAAAGTTAACATTTGTCCCATATGGCCTTTAAAAACCTGAAAACTTTACCACAAATGCACAACATAATCCCTACATCAAACTACAACTTCCCAACATAATACACGTAACAACTTTGCTATAAGCCTACAACTCTTTCCAACAACACTATCATAACACGAAAACAAAACACACAGTACATACACAACACAGTATTACACCAAACACATAAACAACGAAAAACAAAACATTCACAGTACATAACCCAACACAGTACTTACACCAAATCACCGACCAAGGGCAAACAACGGCCCCAGAGAACAGCCCAAAATAAAGCAACAAATTGCAAAGATATGCGGGTATAATCCGAAGCCAAGGAACACCCGCATATCCAAGGGAGTGGAAAATCTCTCCATATTCAACACGGGATTTATCCTTTCATTAAACTGACTACTGCGCCGTTTTTGCTATGCTAGAGGTAACGAAGTGTACCTGGGAGTTGGGTGCGCGAACGTCAAGCGAAGAAATCCGGAAAATACAGCGTAAAATTGACTCCCAGCGAAGAGCGGACTTGCAACAAAATTTCTCTGTAGCGTCCGGAGCGAAATATATTCAATTGTCTCACTCTGTTGTCATTCAAAAATAATATATGATATTTTCCACAATCACTGTCCGATAAAGACAAATCATATATGGAGAAATAATGTTATGAATGTTATAAGATATTTAAATCAAGAAAATATTTTTAGACTAACAAAAAAGACAATGAAATGCACACAATCTGAAGCCCAAACCAAGACCAACAACTCAAACGAGAGCGTACAAAGGCAGAGTCCTCTTGCGGCGACGGACGGAACTACAAACCGCAAAACCCCGCGACTTTCAAAAATTTGGCGTCAACTAACCACAAGAAAATGAAACTCTCTTTATGTTGAAAGTTTTTTATCTTTTTTTCCCTTTTAGATTATCGTTACTCTCTTCGGTTGAAGAAGTGAATAATGTGATGACTGCCTTATTGTACTATTTTTTTTTTATTTTTTATCGTAACTTTTTTAGTAGTTATCTTTAACTACACCAAAAATACAACCAAGCAGAGACATGATTGGCACTCCATTAAACACAGATAAATAATCTATTAAATTTAATTAAATGATTAGCATGTGAAATATGTGCATGATGTCAGCATATCTGCAATGTTCCTACTAGACAACGTGATTTTTTTTCTGCTGTCATTCTATATTTTGATTTCAAATGCCTTTGGGTATCGCCAAATACACTTACTATATATATTTCCTAAACAGATATGCTAAATGCGAAAAGTAATATTCACGAAAAAAATATAACAAAAAAAATTTAGGAACCACATTACACACTAGCAAGAAGAACTCAACACTCGCACTTGCAAGACTCGCACTCGACTCACTCAATAACACTCGTCGACCTATCAATTCCCACTACTGAATGCACTAACGATCGCATGCATTCGACTACCTCAACTCTCAATAATAAACAATCCGGCCCATGCATGACTTTCACACCCCACACCCCCTCAACTAATCAAAACTTGTGCTCCAATCGCATGATAACAATAATAATAAAAATGAATGATGATCAAAATCAATCCAATAAAAAATCGCATGATGACAAACACCATGATAATGAAAATGATATTAATAATGATGATGATGATGACACAATAATAATGAAAAGTTATAGTTATCATAATGAAAGTTGATGCCATGGTTGTGGGAGTATCGCTCGATAATAATCAATAATTAATTACATATTAAATGGATGATTGATGGTTGTGGTGATGATGAATGAGATGATGATGAATGTGACAGCGATGATCGAGATCGAATGATTGCTGAATGATGCGTGAATGGTTGCCTGTGCCATTTCATGATTGATGATCGTAGAATGATAACATCGATTATGATTACGCATTAATGATAATAGTGAAATGATAGTAATGATGATGACCGGCATGATTGGTTAAGCGTGATGGTGATGATGTACTTGGGTGATTGGGGATGATGAGTGTGCGGAATGTGAGATTTTGTGGATTTGATGATTGTGATGGTAGATGATTGATTATGAATGGTAAGGTGAATTGGTGATGATGATGATGATGCAGATTATGGTTAAAGGTGATGGGATGATGATGGTGAAATGGTGATGATGATGATGGTTAAAGGTGGATGGTGATTTGATGATGAGTAGATGAGTGATGATGAATGACATGAATGGTTAAAAGGTTATGCATAGACCGACTAAAAGCAATCGATGCAATGAAGATGATGTGGTTAAGGCCTGAGATGGTGAATGATTGACCGGTGATGGTGATGATGATGGTTAAAGGTAGATGATGATGACTGATGATGGGTATATCAGGCTTCGAGTGATCGGTACGATGATAGATTGGGATGATGGTGATGAAATTGATTGATGTATGTTATGTAAGCATGGATGGTGACTACGGTGATGATTAATGATTCACACGATTACTGACTAAAACTGAACAAAATTGAATTTAAAAATTTGGCATGGAACTGACCACATATGTCTGAACTGATATCTATGATATTATAGATAGATAGGATAGACACCGCATTAGATAATATGTATGTAGTGATATATCTAATAAATCGAATAATCTAATATGTATATCACCTATATATGTATATATAATATCCTATAATATCATATATATATATACAGATCATATATATAATGAATAATATACATAAATATACCTCAGACATTATGAATATAAAGTAACGATATAATAATACAGGATATCAAATACTATATATATATATATATATATATATATATAATAATAATATTATATAATTATTAGATAATTTGATAGATGAATGAAGTACAGATGATGATGTGAATAATATACTAATTGATGATGAAAATAAAGAATGATGATGATTCAGATGGTGCATAAAAATCGTATAAGATGATGGTAAATGATTAACATCAAGATTGATGTTTACAAATTGTAATGAATAGATTTATAATAATAGATGTAAGATATATGCATGGATGATATATATAATAGATTATTAGAATGAAAGAATTGGTTGATGATAAATGAGTGATTGAATATAAAATTAAGGTATGATTAAAATGAGGCATGAATCAAAATTGAGGAATGTATTTAAATAGCTCCACGGGACAATTGATAACCACAATCAGAGTGAAGAGTGATAAATGGTGAATGAGATAAATGAGATTGATAATAATTGAGGAATGATACACAATGATAAGATGACTAAATTGAGGTAATGTGAATAAATGATGGAAATGATAAATGCATTGATGATTTTAAAATGTAGGAATGATATATAATGAAAATTGCATGATAAAAATTGATGCATGATAATAATGATGATGTAATAATAATGATGAATGAGATATAATGATTTTGATGATTTAAAAATTGAATAATTATAGTGATGATTAAATATAGAGTCGATTGATAAACAAATGATTGAATTGATAATTACATGAATGTATAATGATATATGATGAATTGATAAAAATTGATGATAATGATAAAAATTCCACCTGGGTTGAGTGATAATAATTATTGATAAATGATAAAATGATGAAATTGATGAATGATGAAATGATAAATGATGTATGATAAATGATTGATGATAAATGATGATGATAAATTGATGGATGAATGAAATGATGATGATAAATGATGATGAATGATGATAAATGATGGATAAAAATTGATAAATGAATGATAAATGATAAATGATGATGATGATGATGATGATGATGACGATGATGATGATGATGATGATGATGGTGATAATGATGATGATGGTGATGATGGTTATAGTGGTAGTTGTGGTGAAGGTGATGATGATATTAATAACAGTACTACTACTACTATCAATAATAATGATGATAATAATGATAATAATATTAACAACAACAATAACAATAATGATGATAATATGATATATAATAATAATAATTAATAATAATAATAATAATAATATAATAATAATAATAATAATAATAATAATAATAATAATAATAATAATAATAATAATAATAATAATAATAATAATAATAATAATAATTATAATAATAATAATAATAATAATAATAATAATAATAATAGAGGGAGAGAGAAAGAGAGAGGTAGATGAATAGACAAATAAAAGGATCACAAACATAATTAAACAAAGATATAGCCTAAATATGTATATATATCTATATCTCAATCGGCCATTGATTTATAAAAGATGAAAAATGCATCAGTGGTTGCCCTGATTTGTAATAGAAGTACATTACATATATCTGCTTTACAATAAGTAATATTTTCATAATCTGTGAATATCCTATTTATAGCAAAATTCGCAATAATTACCTGATTCAAATACAAATCATGGGTAATATTTCTAATAACTAGATATACAAGATAATTTATCCTCAAGCAACAACAGAAAACGGGCATTGCATCCCAGCAGCGACACAGAAAACGCAACGCATATGTCAGAATGGTAAATGATGATTTATCTGGACCTTATAGAATGTTGGGAGGAACTTTTTATCCGTAAATTAGCGCAAGTTCACATGGACAGATTAATAAAGGTCTTCATTGTAGTGTTTTCCAACCCAGTCCTTCATTTTTTTTTAAATTCCCGCTCCTCCCTAGTCAGATCCTTGTGCCTCCTCTCTCAGAGACTTTCGGACGGTTTGCTAGAATTGTGCGAGGTCCGACCTAAATAATATTTGTATACTTGACATGCATAAATAAAGAAATAAATGCATATTTATCGGTCTAGACATGCCTATCAACCCGGCAAATAGATGGTTAAATGTATATCTGTCAGATATATAGACAGATATGCCTTTATTTTTCAGCATCTATATTTATGAAAATTCATTAGGTCGGGCCTGGTACAATTTTAACAAACCGGCTGTTTATCTGTAATGTATTTTACTGGCGTGCATATATATCATAATCATTACAGAAAAAATTAACACTTATCTTCCCTAGTGTGATGGTTGTATTTGTTTTTCTCCAAAGAGTTTCTCAAATTCCACCATGATTTATAGCTCTCAAATGTAGTCATCTTTACGAAGCATTAGCGCTCCACCCCCTAAGTAGCCCTTTGGGGTATAGAGGGGGGGGGGCGACTCACAGGTTAGAAAACCACTGATTTAATAGATTTGTAAAGTTATGTCGTGAATGTCCTGTGAATGCCATTGAAAGTGAATAATGTGCTTTAGCAAATCCAAGACCAAGTTTAACAACTACTGCAAGAATAAGAAACAGCAGGTGTTGAGCAATTCTATGCCTATATTCATCATATATATATATATATATATATATATATATATATATATATATATGTATATTATATATATATACATATATATATATATATTTATATCATATATGTATATGTATGCATATATACATATACATATATATAAAAATGTATACACGTATATGTACCTACATGTGTGTGTATATGTGTGCATATATATATATATATATATATATATATATATATATATATATATATATATATATAATGTGTGTTGTGTTGTGTGTGTGTGTGTGTGTGTGTGTGTGTGTGTGTGTGTGTAT